TAGAATACTTCATTATTTTGCAGAAAGCACAAATTATTGTCAAGATAAGTGAAAACCAGTAATATCGAGTAAAGATACAAAATCATTTATCTTTTAATTCTAATCTAACCTCTGTAAACAATGCAAAAAAGCCGATTTAAGTTCAATCAAAAAAGATTAGAATCTACCAAACAAGATAATCACAAAATAGCCAACAAAAGTTATCAGGTAACTTCAGAAGGTATGAGAAGTACTTTATCAAGCATTCCTAATTTTCAAGAATGACTTATCAAAAGATGCTGTTATTTGAAAAACAAGTATATTTTATCCCTTCTTTATCATAGTTCTAATTTCCAGTAGCTCCTTAGTGGTAAAAAAGTGTTGGATAAAAGTAAAATAATGCTTCGCAATTAAGAACAAAGATCCCCTAAGACTCCAGCTCAATAAGAAAAACAGGACAGAGCAGAGATATGTTCTTAAGAATTTGTCCATCTCAAAAATAAGCTAAAAGGAAGTAATTAAATCAAAGCTTTGGGCCTAAATAATAATATAAACCACCAAATAAGCAACTATTTGAAATAAACCTTTAATTCAAAGATTGATGATCATCTGGGTGGCACCTTTAAAGATAATCTTACCATGGGAGGGGAAAGGAGGGAAGGCTACATAATCTTTTTAGGTACTCTGCCTCATTATTTTGCTAAAATTGGTGCAGCTTATCAATACTGTAGCAACATTTCAGCCACTAGGTGGCAGGTAAAAAAAAAATGAAACAGCTAAAAAACAAAATGCAAGCAAAGCATGCAGGTGCAAATTAAGTTACTGACTAGGGTAAGAGATCAAAGGTACCACAACCCAACTCTTCCAATTCTACAGCAACTGCCAAGAAGTGTGATTAAATGAAGAACATCCAAAGTAGGACTGGCCTTGCCAAGGTTGGGTCTGAAGACCGTCTTCTAAGAAAATTGAGATTTGGACCGTGAGTGATTCACACTATAAGGCCAAGGAATCAATCAGAAATGAGTCTGGGGAAGAAGGGCTCAAAGATGAAGGAAGAAAATCCCATTTCTTGAGTTTAGTGGAGGTGTGGAATAAAAGAAGAAAATATCCAAAGCTAGAGAGAACCCACCCACCACCATCCTCACACTCCACAACCTTATCTCCAAAATACTATCCACACTGTCTGAAATGCCACCTAGAAGTACAGAACACTAACAACATAAACAGACCCCAATATATACACAAAAATAAAACTATTCTCCAAGAATATGCACCAATTAAGGTTATCAAATTTTAATATCATGGAGACATGACTAGATTACAGTAAACTGTATGATGAACATATGGGTTCATCTACATGGTAGTTATAAAGGTCAATTTGGAATTTTGACTCCAGTACATGGGAAGAAAATGCCCCACCCATAAACATGAGTATCAGATCCATGAAACCAAGAGTCTTAAAACAGAGACAGATGCATCAATGTGTCACAGTCTGATGACATCAGTCATTAAGATAATATAACTAATTCCCCTGGGCTCTGATTCTAAGCTTAATAGACAACCTGCTTATTATAAATTTGTCTTCCCATATATATTAATGCAATGTTTTCTACCTTTCCTCTCCAACATAACTAAAGGGGTCAATATAATCCCAACACTAACAGTGATTCACTAGGGCAGTCATTTTTAACCAGGAGGCATTCCACATATTAAAATTCCCAAGGGATTGTTTATCATTTTATAAAACACCCTAAAACTGTGAGATTCTTATGAGTTCCTTCCACTGGTTGAGAATTATGGACCTCCACAGAGAATAAATTGACCTAATTTGGTGAATCTGATAATTACATTTCTCTCTACAAATTAAAATTTTTGGCATTTTGGTTTTTATATATCAGTTTCTGCACCCCAGATTAATTATAGGTATACTGAAAGGCAGAGGTGTCTCTTTGATGTGCCAAAGAATCAGTTACACATATTGAATATAAGTTAGAAGCTTATGACACTGAAACCAGAATGGGCCTTAAATGGAGGTTAACTAATCCAATCTAGTCTAACATTCTCTCAATGAAAGAATCCCTTCTGTATTTCTGACATTGGTTTACTTTGTCTACTTCCTACCTAACACCTGAGAAATAACTGCACTGATAGTTTACCCCAAAAATGAGGGGGAAAGAGGTGTTTTTAGAACATATATATCTCATTTCTTCTTTTTTTTTTTTTTTAAGATTTTATTTATTTGACAGAGACACAGCAAGAGAGGGAACACAAGCAGGGGGAGTGGGAGAGGGAGAAGCAGGGAGAGGGAACACAAGCAGGGGGAGTGGGAGAGGGAGAAGCAGTTTTCCCGCTGAGCAGGGAGCCCAGGGGCTCGATCCCAGGACCCCCGGGATCATGACTTGAGCCGAAGGCAGACGCTTAACAAATGAGCCACCCAGGCACCCCATATATATATATATATCTCATTTCTAAAGGTAAGCAAACCTGAGCAGGGCACTTCAGTGAAAGAGGCCACAAGACATACTTTGGAAGATAAAAATGCAGAGTGGAGGAAAGACAGAACACCCAAAGGAAAATGACAAAATGACCTGAACAGGGACTTCACAAAAGAAATCCAAATGGCAAATAAATTAATTAAATAAAGGAGCACAATCTCATAAGCAATCAAAGAAATACAAATTAAAAACATAGGGGCGCCTGGGTGGCTCAGTCGTTGGGCATCTGCCTTCAGCTCAGGTCATGATCCCGGGGTCCTGGGATCGAGGCCCGCATCGGGCTCCCTGCTCAGCGGGGAGTCTGCTTCTCCCTCTCCCTCTCCCCCTGCTTGTGTTCCCTCTTTCACTGTGTCTCTCTCTGTCAAATAAATAAATAAAAATTTAAAAAAAAAATTAAAAACATAAAAGATATTAAACACCCAACAGAATGGCAAAAATTAGGAAACTGGATAATAACCACTTTGGAAAACAGGCATCATACAAATAGCCCACCAACCAGGGATTTTACTTCTTATTCCTAGAGAAACTCTTGCATGCGTGCACCAGGATTCATGTTCATAATAGGGCTGTTTTTACAGAAACTAAATTAGAAATCACTCAGAAATTGGTCAAAAGTATAGAATAGACAAATAGCCATGTGTGAATACAACTGAATACTATATGGGAATGAAAATGCACAAACTGCAACCGTATGCAAAAATATAGACAAATTTCATAGGCTTAATAATCAAAAAAAGAAAGAAGAAAAAGATTGCAAACAGGTGATTTCATTTATATAACATTCAAAAACAGACAAAACTAAATTATATTTCTTAGAGATATGTTCACATACAGTCAAATTATTTTTAGAAAGCAGAGGAAGTATTATTGCAGGAGTTATTTTATGTGATTGATTATCCCTAGCAGTTGTTACCCTAGGAAAGGAGATACTGTGACCTAAGGACAAACAGGGACTTCTGGAATATCAGTAATATTCTATTTCTTGACCTGGCTAATGATTAGCTTTCCAATTGTTCTTCAAACTATACATAAGTTTCCTATACTTGTCTATAGTTATATCATGTGTCAATAAAAAATATTGAAAGAAAGGGCACCTGGGTGGCTCAGTTGGTTAAGCGACTGCCTTCGGCTCAGGTCATGATCCTGGAGTCCCAGGATCGAGTCCCACGTCGGGCTCCCTGCTCAGCAGGGGGTCTGCCTCTCTCTCTGACCCTCCCCCCTCTCATGCTCTCTATCTCATTCTCTCTCTCAAATAAATAAATAAAATGTTAAAAAAAAAATGTTGAAATAAAGAAGCAAATAAATTTGCCCACTTTAAAATTCTACTTAAGGCTAATCTTGCCTTTCCCCACAGACCAGACTGAAATTCTATTTCTTAAAAAAGTGGAGTCCATATGGAAAGGAAGTCCCTTCAAGATTTAATCCTGAATTATTCTAAGGATCAGAGTGTACTCAGCTGCACCCCTAAAGTTAACTATGCTTGACAAATCAGTGTGTGAGAAAATATTTTTGGTTATTCAAAACCATATATCCTCAAAGTCTACAGAATTATCTCGCTAATGATCTACATTTTAAATACTCAATTATTATTCCCAGATTCCCTTATACCAACAGCTAAATTTGAAAAAATAGACATTTTTGTTCAATCCTCCATCTTCCTCAATTCTAACAAAGTAAGTTTCTAGAACACATTTCCATTTTGAAGATTTCTGCTATGCTACTTTCAATTTCAAGTCTCATTTCTCCAGAAATGAAATCTTAGCAATCAGATCTCTTTCCTTCATACACATACAATAAAAAATTTTGCAAAAAAAAACAAAATTTAACTGTTATTCCTTCTTTCTTATTTGTGTCCAGGGTGAAAGTCTGGCAAGAATGAAAAGTACAAAGAAATAAGAAGATAAATGCTTCTCTCTAATACAGAAGGCCCAAAAGGTAAACTGATAGGGGCACCTGGCTGGCTCAGTTGTTTTAAGCGGCTACCTTCGGCTCAGGTCATGATCTCAGGATCCTGGGATCGAGCCCCATATCGGGGGGGTCCCTGCTCAGTGGGGAGCCTGCTTCTCCCTCTCCTCCCCGTTCCTGCTCTCTCAGTGTCTCTCCCTCTTTCAAATAAATAAATGAAATCTTTATTTAAAAAAAAAAGGTAAACTAATAAAATTCAGTTACTGGGTAGTTTTTTTGGTCTTTGTTTTCCTTGTTTGCTTGTTTTTAAACAAAATGTAAAAAGCTACTCAAGGAATTTAATTTGCCATTAGATTTTTTTAACTTTTTAATTAATTTTTAAAAACTCTTAAAATTCTACTTAGATGCAATGAGTACATAAATCTTAAGTGCACAGCTCAATGAATGTTTATACACACACACACACACATATACACACACATCCATGTATGAAGATGAAGATACAGACTTAAAGCTAGATGTGAAAATGTTATTAGGAAAAAAACCCAAAAACCCAAAAGGTTAAATACCACTGGTCCTCTAAAGCAATAGATATTTATTTAGTTAATTTTTTTTTCATACCTCACAGTCACCTTGAGCACTTTGAACATTGCACCACCTGGCAACAGGTTCAGGAACCACTTCCCAATCCTCGCAGACCTGTTTTAGGATATTCACAAATGTTGTCTTCCCTGAAGCTGTTGTGAGAGGAAAAGGAAAATTAAAGAAGGAGACTAAGAAAGAGACTTAGAAAAAAAAAAAAAAGTCAAAATAGACATCAGCTTTTTCAAAATTTATACTAGCAAACAATACAAAAAACAAAAATACTCAATTTCCCAAACTTTCTCTTTAGATTTGTTTCAGTGAAAATTAAAAGGGTCCCCACCCACTTGTATTAAGCACATTTGTTATTGTTTTTAGTTTATCAAAGCCACGGAATAGAAGAATTTAAAATCTGGTGTAACTTTGGCAACGTGTTACGGCAGAAAAAAAAAAAAATCCTAGTCCTAGCCTCACTTTCCTTAACTAAGTAATTAGAGATAACTGTGGGAAATGGTTAAGGCTATTCTTCCACTTAATTAGATATGTGATTTTGGGCAAGTCACTGAATCTCTCTGAGCCTGTTTCTTCATAATACAATGGAAATAATAATACCCTCTTTATGGAAACTGTTGTGATAAACAAGCTATGACTACAGTGACAATCATTATAGGCTCTTGCATTTTCAAAATTTTTCTGTCTACTGGCTCTATTCTCTGTTTACAAACTTAAGTCTTTCCTATCTAAAACCAACTTAGAAACAGCCAAATGAACTATAAAATCAATATAAAGATGTATCCAATACCCAGAGTTTTACAATGAGAATTAGTATGATTATATGACACTAATTATATAACTATACAACATTAAGCCATAGTACCTAACAGAAATTATAAAAACAGTTTTGCAAAGACCCTTATAAGGAATAGCCATGTTTTCTCTGCTTCACTTTCATGGTTCTGTGCACTTATCCAACCCTTTAAAAAAAAGTTGTATGTACATTGCTCCTCCCTGATCATTCACTAGTTTCTGAGACACCTATATGGAAAATAACGGAAATAGTTCAGGTATAATCAGGACATATTATATTCACTATTTTAATATTACTTGGGAATACATTCCATTTAACAGTAGGGAAAGTCTTAACCTAGAATTTTACAGGGTGTAGCAACAATCCCAATGACCACCACACCCTTCTTATCTGAAGTCACCAAAAGTGGTTATATTAGACATCTCTGGTCAATATAATGTGTCTCTCTATGTGTCTCCATATGTATATAAAAATACACACACATAGATTAAAATATAAAAAAGCATCTTCTGTAAGCTTACAAGGAAAGCTTCCTCATCCTTATAAAATGGGATCCAAAGAGGGCAAAAAGAACTTACTTTTGACTTGAATAACTATATTCAAACCTAGGACATTACATAGGCAATAGAAAAGAAGAAAAAAACCAGAACTTTAACAGATCACACATAGAGGGACGCCTGGGTAGCTCAATCGGTTGAGTGTCTGACTCTTGGTTTTGGCTCAGGTCATGATCTCATGGGTCATGGGATCAAGCCCCATGTCAGGAATCAAGCTCAGTGGGGAGTCTGCTTGAAGATTCTTTCCCTCTGCCCCTCTCCCCCACTTTCTCTCTCAATAAATTTTTTTTTTTTTAAAAAAGATCACACATAGAGCAAAAACAGGGATGGGGAGGAAGGGGGTCAATAAGAAGGTAACATAGAAAAGAGAACTGCTGAGAAGCAAAACAAAGTCATATTATCCCCACAGGATAGGAGAAAAGGTATTAAGGATAAACTAGATGACCATTAGATTTAATCATGGGAAAAAGACTGGTGACCGCAGATTTCGTATGGAGCATTTAGAATGGTAAGCAGAAGCATATAAAATGATCACTGGACATTCACTGAGGTAGACAGAAGAAGGAAAGGAAAACATGATGTTCAGAAAGAGGATCCAATCTGGACACCTGGGTGGCTCAGCTGGTTAAGTGTCTGCCTTTGGCTCAGGTCATATCCCAGCATCCTGGGATCGAATCCCACATCAGTCTCCTTGCTCAGTGGGGAGCCTGCCTCTCCCTCTGCCTGCTGCTCCCCCTGCTTGTGCTCTCTCTCTCTGACAAAAAAGTAAAATCTTTAAAAAAAAAAAAAAAAGAAAGATGATCCAAGGAACACATGATAAAATCAGGCATCAGCCAGAGTCTGAAAGCATTTAAAGCTAGAACATTCAGCTGTCTTCTGACATGCCTACAAACAGAAAAATTTCATGTGATCATACTCCAAAATTTTAAGAGCAAAAACAGCTATTCTTTAAAATTACTCTTCAGTTCAAGCAGAGTAACAACAGTTACCTGTAGTTCCCAATCAGATTAATATCTAGTTCCTTAACTTTTTGGGGGGAAAGTGGGGAGCTGGAAAATAAGCCAATTAATAAATTAATATTCTATGAAAGCAAAGGAGAACAAGGACCAAAGACACTGATGTTAATACTTTAAAAGTCATGGGACCTAACAGAATTACTAATGCCAACCAGGTATTACAATGCCAAAAATCATCTATACAAACTATTAAGATGAAAAGAAGCAGGGAGGGCCTCCATAAATCTAATACAAGGGAGTATTTTAGCAACAGAGAACATGAGAAGATAAGTTACTGAGTATAAAACTAAAATGACCAGTTAAAGTTTAAATTCTAGGAATCACTAAATAGTCTTCTACACACATATTAGCAATTTGTACATTTATACTTATTTGGGTCTGGCAAATAAGGTGGAAGGGACAGGAACAACAGTGCTAGCACATTAACAGCAACTGACAAAGCCTCAGCATCAGGAAGACAGTAAGTGGTAAGGGCGCCTGGGTGGCTCAGTAGGTTAAGCGACTGCCTCCGGCTCAGGTCATGATCCCGGAGTCCCGGGATCGAGTCCCGCATCGGGCTCCCTGCTTAGCAGGGAGTCTGCTTCTCCCTCTGACCCTCCCCCCTCTCATGTGCTCTCTCTCTCATTCTCTCTCTCTCAAATAAATAAATAAAATCTTTAAAAAAAAAAAAGTAAATGGTAAGGAACATAACCCATCTAAATAGCAAATTGTTATCTTACAGAAACAAACATCCAGTGTTACCAAATCTTCAGATATTTTAAGAAATGCCAAGAATCTAGATGTTCACAAGAAATCTCAAAATTTTTAAATGCTAGTAATTCATTAAAATTTTTTTTTCAAATCTATGCAGGCCACTATTGTGCAAATGCAAGCCACCAGTTTGCAACTCCTTCCAGTGTAGGTAATGGAGAAATCAGAGAATTTTAAGTAGGGGATAACACAATTAGATTTGTATATAGAAAGTCTGCTCTGGAGTTAGTTAAGAGAAACTGGAGATGGGGTGACATATTAGGAAATTATTTCAGGTGCTGGGAAGATTAAAGATGCTTGGGGAGTAGTAACTTTCTAGATATGATATGTTGCTTAATTGGATTTATGAAAGGGAAGGGGATTAATTCATTGTGGTATTGATCTGAAGGGTTGTTCATTTAAATTTACTTTTGAAATGGCTGCTCAACTACTTCCTCCTTTACATATGTTCTTCTTTATCCAATATGTAGCTATGAGGAACCCTACTAGTAAACTGAATTCAATTTCAAAGAACTTATCATAAGAGGAAATGAGAGTCTATTATAGGGACCTTTTACACTGGTGCCTGAATACTGGAGCAAGGTAACAAGATCTCCTCTTTAAGAGCGTGTTCAGCAATTTTCTACTCCTTGGAATGCTGCTATAGCATCTGCTTTGCCCCATCTTTTTAAAGAAGTACAAGAGCTTTGAATGTGTTAAGAATTAAAAAACATTTGCTGTATGCATGAATGGCCAGTACCCAACTTGGAGCCAAAAAAATTCTATCAGAACAGGAAGTGTCAGGCATAGGTTTCCTGTGGTAGGAAATACAGAAGAATTTAAGTTCAGATGCACCTTGCAAAATGACATGCATGGTATAGTCTGCCCTCATCTGGGTTAGGAACAGAAACAGTACTGGTCTTTGAAAAAAAAGCCAGTGTTTACTTGGATGTGGGAGCAGGGGTGAGGAACGCCATGATATTAAGATCATTAAAAAAAACTCTTCCCTTGGGGCTCCTGGGTGGCTCAGTCGTTAAGCGTCTGCCTTCGGCTCAGGTCCTGATCCCGGCATCCTGGGATCGAGCCCCGCATCAGGTTCCCTGTTCCGCGGGAAGCCTGCTTCTCCCTCTCCCACTCCCCCTGCTTGTGTTCCCTCTCTCACTGTGTCTCTCTCTGTCAAATAAAGAGAATCTTTAAAAAAACAAACAAAAAAAAACCTCTTGCCTTGAACTTCAATGTTTAGAGCCATTTTATCCATAATCGTTAAAACTGGAAATCATCCAAATGTTCACAATTGGGAAGAGATAAACTGTGGTATATCCATGCAATGGAATACTACTCAGCAAAAAAACAGAACTACAGATACAAGCAATATGCTAAAATAAAAGAAGCGTTATGCTAAATAAAAGAAGCGAGACACAAAAGGCTACATACTCTGTCGTTCCATTTATAAGACATTCTGGAAAAAGGCAAAACTTACAGAAACAGAAACCAGATCAGTGGTTGCCAAGGGGTAGGAATGCAGAGGGAGCTGACCACAAAAGAGCACCAGGGAACTTTTTGAGGTGATAAAAATGTACTGAATCTTGATCATGATGGTAGTAAAAGAGCATTATATGTTTGTCATACCTCATTGAAGAGGACACCTAAAAAAGGATAATTTAATGTATGTAAATTACACCTCAAGAACACACACACACACCCTCAATACAAACACAAAACCAAAAACAACCCTTCCCTTTGCGCAATTCCAACAAGGGGAGGAAACTGGCCCAAAGTGCACCCTAACGAGGCCCGAAGGCCCGGGCGTGCACGACCTGACGCCCTGGGGCCACCGCCACCCTCGGGGAACGGGACAGAAGCTGGGCGGGACAGGGCAAAATGATTTCGGAGCGAAGGGAATTCGAGGCCGTGTCCGCATCTACATAGCCAGGCTGGAAGAAAGCCCTCACTGAGGAGCAGCAGAGATGCAGCGAAGGAGCGCTGCTGCCGCCGCCGCGGCTCCCCGTGCTTTGGGAACATTTCCCGAGGCTCCTTACCGATGTTCCCTTCGATGGCAATTTTCTTGATGCGGGTCCCCTCAGAGCCAGTCGCGGGAGATGGGCAGCTCCTCTTCGGTGGGGTGGCCATTCTGGTCCTGTGGCGGCCCGGAGCGCATCCAGCAGGGAGGTCTGGGAAGTGGCCACAGGTGCGCGCGCTGATGCTCACACCACTGCCGAACGTGACCTGACACGCAAGCTGAGCTCCCGCCTGCAGCAGGTTCTCCAGCCGCCGGGTCCTGGGGTTTGATTTTGGCGCGCGGAGGCAGCTGCCGATGGGGGCGGGACTGCGGCGCGGCCGCCCGCCCAGCCGGGAAGCCACGCCCCTTCCCTCTCCCCGAGCTGGCGAAGCCCCTCGGCCTCCGACGCCGCGGGCGGGGCCTCTGCGGGCGGGGCCTCTGCGTGCGCGCCCGGCACGTCGGGTCACGCGGGAGCACAGGGTGGGATCGCGCGCGCAGTGGAGCGCCTCTTCCCGGGACTCGGGGCGGGCGTTCCGGAGAGCTGTGGAACCAAGGGTGACCGCCGAAGCTGGAGGGCGAGCGAGGGCAGGGGTGCCACCTGCCTTCGTCAACAGGTGTGGGCCGGCCCCGACTTTGGAGAACTGGCCTTTCCAGTGGGGCCTGTGGAGATAAACAGAGCGTCTGGAACAGAACTAACTGGGAAGCTGTATGAGGTGGAGAAATCAAACGGGTTACCCTGTGTAGTCAGCCTGGAGGACAACCATCAGGCTAAAGTGCCGCTGGGCAGCCCAGCCCTCAGGAAATGTACGGCACTCTTGCTGTGCCAGGCACTGTTTTGAGAGCTGTTCTTGAATCAACTCGCAGTCCAGTGCGGGAAGTCCCACCATTAGCCCGATTTATCAGTGAGGAAACAGGCACTGAGAGGCCACTTGTTCAAAGTCTCAAAGGCAGTGAGTGGATCTGATAGGAATTTACGCAGTCAGACGCCACTCCACAGCAAGCTTTTCCTGATCTCAAACCCGTCTCCATTTGAGTCCCATTTATGTTGAAAGAGAATATGCCACCCCAAAATATGCCACTACGGCATAGAGATTATTTCGAAGTAAAGGTACTTTAGAAATAGTGCAAGGACACTCTGCCCCTCCTTTGTCCCTACTAAAAGGAGATGAATCTATGTGAAAGGTATCTTCCCTGTACCAGAAGGGTAGGAGGCCTCCTTATGGCCAGATAGGGAATTTAGGGCCGAGGAGGCCTATTACCAAACCTTGCTACTTCACCATTTTATTACCCCGAACCCAAACCCCTTTGTCTTGTCAATTCTAATTTATTGTTTGTCTAAAAGATACAATGACCTACTTTGGTCATTCCTTTGAATTTCCTATGTTTATGGAGCTTCTCTCTCTCTCTATACATATACAATTAAATTTGGTTTCCTCCTGTTGATCTGTCTTGTGTCAATGCAACTATTAGATCAGGCAAAGAACTTAGAAGAAGGGAAAAATTTTCTGCTCCTACAATGCTATGCGGAAGTTACCACACTGGGTGGGTTTCTGTTCAGCATGAATATAGATAGCTTAATTTTGCATGCCCTACACCTGCCACATAGTTAACAAATGCTGAATTTTTGAATGCACACCTCTGTGCCATGAACTTTGCTAGAAGACTTATCTAGCTGGGATAGATACAGTGTAGAAACACCCAGAATTTGGGGCGCCCAGGTGGCTTGGTCGTTGGGTGTCTGCCTTCGGCTCGGGTCATTGTCCCAGGGTCCTGGGATCAAGCTCCACCGGGGGCCTGCTTCTCCCTCTCCCACTCCTCCTGCTTGTGTTCCCTCTCGCTGTGTCTCTGTCAAATAAATAAATAAAATCTTAAAAAAAAAAAAACAACCACCCAGAATTCATTTTTAATCTTGGCAAAGATCTAGTAAACACACTACCCAGTCTAGAAGTTCCTGAGTTCAAATGGTCTACAGAAACCAAAGGCCGTGTTACTCTTTTTTTACCTTGCAATTACCATCAGACCTGAAATGCATCTTAATGGTAGAGTCAGAAGGGGTGTAAACGGTGAATCCATTCTGAGAAACAGAAGGCAGAAATCAAAATGTGAATTCATGGGGAATTCTAGAATAAAAACAGCAAAAATCATTTTGTTAACATCCCTGTAATTATTTTATTATGTTTATTACTTTTGTTTATCCCCCTAGGGATTAGCAGCAGGATCCTTGAAATGAAAAAGCCTGAACACTTGTCATCGGGGATGGTAAGGAAGCCAGGGAAGCCACAGGGTGTTGTATTCCACACCCAAGCTTAGAAAACCCATGAAATGGTAAAGATATTGGCAGTACAGAGAGAGGAGTAAGGCAGGGTGAATGAGACCTTCAAACAGGAGAAAAGTAGAAGAAAAGAAATTCCATATGGAACTGATAAAGATGTGTAGGTTTGAGAAATAGGAAAACCCGTGTGGTTTCCACAAAAGAAAAGTAGTATAATGCAGAGAATGAGGGGTTTAAGCAGTGGAAAATTAAAAACTGGTTTCAAATTCCAGCTCTGCCAGATTCTGGCTGTGAGAACTTAAGTTCCTCAAAGCTTGAAAGTGTTCCTTAAAAACACGAAGTCGATGGGGCAGAGAGGGAAACCCGGCTTTCCTGGCATCAGGTTCAGCATAATTTACCATTTTCCTAAATAACCTTTGGATAATGCAAGGAAGAGGTAAGAGAAAAGCACTTTTAAAATCTCCTTGATTTTGGGGGCACCTCAGTGGCTCAGTCAAGTAACTCTTGGTTTCAGCTCAGGTCGTGATCTCAGGGCCCTGATCTCAGGGTCATGAGATAGAGCCCTGCATTGGGCTCCGGGCTTGGCCTAGAATCCGCTTGAGATTCTTTCCTCCTCTGTTCCTCCTTCTGCTTGCACTCTCTCTCTAAAATAAATAAAATCTTGAAAAAAAAAAAATTCCTTGATTTTATCCACAACCCCTTATCTGAAACCCTTGCAGCCAGATGTTTCAGAATGCAAAAATTTCTGGATTTTAGAAAAGAAATTTACAATCGTGTAGTACATATATATATAACCATCCCTTACCCTCCTGCAGAGGTGTTAAATACAGATAATTTGCAGTGAAACACAGATTTCCCATTAGGTGGAATAAAAACTATTAACTTCAGAACAGGTTAAGTTTGCACTAAATTCAAGAAAATACTTTGTTTTCCAAGCTTTTCAGATTTTGGAATTGCAGATAAAAGACAGGGAACACCCAGCCAGTCATGAGCATGCCACCATCTTCACCCTTTCTTGCCAGAAATTTTACAACTCCTTCAATCTGGGAATTCCTTTTCTTCTGTGGGAATGCTGGTATAACTAAGGACACGATCTTGACATAGAGGTTTATTAAGAAAACTCTAAACCGACTCAGAAAATGAGAACAAAGGGAAAAAAAAAAGTCCCTGAACATTGATAAGTAGTGGTTACAGCCCATGTGTTTGTACACACCAACCCAACAACTTCTGTAAAATGATATTGATTGACTTAAGCTTGGTTATAATATACTCCTTGTAACCTTCATTATTGCCTAGAAACACATGAATGCAGAAGGCATCATAAAAGCAAGAGTGGGGAGTCAGGGTGCTTCCAGCAAATCTGAAGTGCAATAGCAAAATAACAAGCTAGAAGGGCATAGCAGGGAGCCATCAATCCTATATAGCTCCTTATCAAAGGAAGCTATATTACACTGCATGCTTGTAAAGGTAAACTTAGGTCATCAAGAAATTGTGACATTGTATTCATTAAGCTGTTTAAAACAGGAGTATAACATTTATTAAACGTGGTTGCTTAAAGGAGTATTTAGAACTTGATACCAAAATTCATCAATCCAAGTAATATTATATAATGAAGAATTAACTATTTAAATTTAGTACAATAGAGGCAAATGACCTAATTACCAAAATATAGTTAATTTTTACATGGGTATGTATTTCTTTATACACAGTGGATGCTTTGTAGATACTGTATGTGCAAAATAACAAGGTGTTTTTATTTAAAGTATGCAGGCACAAATCATATCAGCATGGACTAGTATTTCTACTCCTAATCTTTTCTACAATACCAATTGGTGACACTGGGCGACTGTGGACCTGATTGTCCAAACACAAATGCCTCTAAACATAAATATCTGTAAATAATTAAACACTCTGAGAATACTCTAAAATACACAATTCCTTTTGGAATTTAGGTATCAGGGCAAAATGAAGATCCTCCAATACTGCTTATTAATATTCTTTAATGGCCTATAATGAAAACAAAATATTAGATAAAAGCTTGATAGAAAGGCCAACAAATAATTATTTTGCTAACTGTTCTCCTGGCAGTAGAATATTTAAAGAAAACAAACAAAAGCATTGGCTTCAAGGTCAAGCCTATTTGGGTTTTTAAATCCTAGTCCTAATCAGTGACTTATACAATTCCTGAGCTTCAATTTTCTAGTATGTAAGACAATGAGATACTAACCTCTGGGGTGGTTGTGAACCTTATTAAAAATAATGCCTAACAGGGACACCTGGGTGGCTCAGTCGGTTAAGTATCCGGCTCTTGGTTTCAGCTCAGGTCATAATCTCATGGGTTGTGGGATGGAGCCCCACATCGGGCTCCACATTCAGCGAGGAGTCTGCTTCAAGATTCTCTCTCTCTGCCCATCCTCCAACTCACATGTACGCATGCATGTGCGCTTTCTCTAAAATAAATAAATCTTTAAAATAATGCCTAACAAATTTTAAATGTCCAACATATTCCATACTTTCAGTATTTCCCTAGGAATGTGTTTAATGTGAGAACATCTATAGCAAAAATAATCAGTAATGCAAAGTCAGGATTCATGGTCAAACAGAACTATTTATTAATTTTTTAAATAAACATTCAGTTTCTTCCTTTAAAAAAAAAAAAACCTAGAATTTAAATATTTCCCATCCCATCACATACAAGCCTGTATACATTATTTACATCTCTTAATTAAACATATGACAGATTTTCTGACATTCAGTATCCCCTTTTAAAATAAAATGATGAAGCAGTTAAACTTTGATCAGTAATAACTAGAATTTGAGTAATCTTGGCACAGTTTTCAATAGTGTTCATGTTGCATTTCCTATTTTAGACCATTTTTCCCCATCCAGCTACTTAAAATAGAGAAAAATTGTGTATCTTCATGAGAGCAGGATCCCGGTCTTTCGCATTCTCTGCATTATTTACACTGTGTGAATGCTGCCACTATGCTTCCATTATATGGCACTGGCAGTATTCAGCTTTTGTCCCCAGAAATGATCTCTATCCAACTTTTAAGTCTTGTCATGTTTATTGTATTATCTCTCAACTAGATTTCATGACAGTTCTTTGATAATTTTAAGTAATAATGTATAGGAAAATTTCAAATAGAACAAAAGTTAAGTGTTCCCCACAGGATTAGGGCCCTTACCACCTTAGTTATGCATGTACAAAAATAACAAATACAATCTAGTGGCTGTAAAAAACTATTTTCCCCTAAAAATAGTTATCTCTGCAGAACAATTTAAGGAGAAACATGTTCTTAACATGAAAATGCACTAATCTATTTTATAACCTGCACAAGTATTTCAGAACAAAATTAAAATGAAAACATGTGTAAAACACTAACATAAGAATGTAATACACAGAAGAAAAATTAAATATTAACAAAAATTTTAAATCACTAATAATCTCAGGTTTAGTGACACAATTTAAATGAAGCTGTCAACCAAAACAAACCAAAAATGCTTATATATGTTGCACCTTCCAACACTTCTGTCAATGTATTGATAGAAAGTACTTCAGAATCACTAACAAGGAGGACCCGCACAATCAACTTACTTCGTTTTCTTAGTGCGATGGGGGGTTGGGAGGTGGTAAGTCAATAGCGTAAGAAGTAACTTAAGGAAAAGGAGATGACAAACATAGAATGAAAAAAGGCCAGTGATTTCAGTATCTTTGAGAATTGTAATCTAAAATTTTCTGTTGCACAGCATTACATGCAGAAAAAGAACTTGCATCATACTTGCAAAACTGAGATTATTCAATATTTTAACCTGTATTTTTTCTCCTTTGTCAACATTTAAGTACCAGGTCAGCTATAAATGGAAGACGTGGAACACAGTATTATACCTTTAAAATAAAATATTCTCTATGATTAACTCATTAGAAACATCTTAAAAATTCAAATTGTTTACAGTCAGAATTGCTGTATCTTAAACTTTTCCATTAAATCTTGACATATCTTTACCTCTAAATATTAATCTCATACACCATTACACTGATACTGAAAAACAGTAATTCCTATGGGTGAATCTTAACATTATGACAAAACTCTAATATTTAAGTTATTTTAGGAGTGGTTCTTAAAAGTACAGATCCAGAATAGCGCTTCTAAAAATTAGGTCTGTTCTTTAGAATATCAGATTAAGTTTCAAAATCAGTTTTCCTCTTGGTATGCAGTCACATTTTCAAATTACAAATATACTTCTGATCCCACATCTTTTAAAAAGACATTCAAAATTTTAAAGTTATAAACAATGTATGAAATGATTATACAATTTTAAATATTTTATCTGTGATATGCAGGCTTAAAATTCAGCATAATTATTACATAAAATTTATTCCAATTTCTTTGTACAATGATCTGCAGTCTTTAAATTCATTTGTTCATTTGAGTGAAAATATGTTTAAACAGTAAAGGCTGTTGTTACCTTAAGCTACTTCTATCTTAAATATTGGATCCATTTTTTCTTACTATCCCTTCAATCAAAACTATCCTACAGTAGTTGAGATAAAATTCAAAAGTTATCAGGGAAAGAAACAAAAGTAGAAAACAAGAGATAGACTTTGATTTTTTTAATTATTATATTTAGCTGTAAGGTAATTAAACTAAATTTTTAAGAATTAAATAAAACCTATACATCCAAATGATACTTCAAAGTAGTGACATCAAGAAACTATCCCTTTATTAAATGATGCTACCAATGCTCAAAACGTTCTCTCTTGCAAATTTAGAACCTATGGCAGTCTTCTGAACTTCCCTAATGGTTTAGTTCTAAGAAACCAGCAAAGTAGAGTTGGTTTGGTGGCTGAGATAGGTCATATTAAGCTGCCAAAAGTTTTCAGTGCAACTAAAATGATGGAATAGATTTTCTTGCATAGTCATAAACCAATTCTCAAGGCATCTCTAAAAATGTTCCAAAAACGTTACACCTTCAAAACACAGCTGGTAAGAGTAGTGCTCCCCAGGAACCACCCTGAAGATCAACTCTCATTTGGATGTTTAAGGTATGACATACTTATTTTAAAAGAAAGCCCTACAACTTAATAATTGTATCTCACATATTTTACCATTTCAGTGGTTATCAAAACCTCTCTCAGAGAGGGTGTACATAAAGGTATAAAAGAAATGTCATTTTGCTCTTTTCCCATAAGCAGGGAAAATGCTAATACATAAAATGGAGTTTGGTGATTACATGTAAAATATAAATATCCACACCATCTGTATTTCCTGAAGATAAGAGATTGTAGTGTTTTATCTTTCCTGATAAGCCAGGCAGTAACTCAGTCTGAGATATATTACACACTAAACCTGTCTTCTCCCACCTAATACATTTTATGCTGACCCTTTAGAATTTACAAATGACAAACGGAGAAAGAGCAATCTAAAATCTTTCAATTCAAAGTAAACTGACCACCAAAGCCTCTTCCAGCTAAACTAACACGTGCTACTGTTTTAATGCAGTCTAATGCCATGGTTTTTATGGGAAACAAAATAATCAAGTCAGCAAATGAAATCCAGTAGCACCATCTACTGCTTAGTAACAGATTTTCACTCTGTTATTAATTTCTCTCCACCACCATTTAAAATCTCTCTCCATCATTTAAAATCATTCCTAAAACTTGCTTCATTTCAAATTTAACCAAAGCATTGTGACAATAATACTATGTTAACTTACTATTTTATATTTTATGCTTTTATTAGTGGATGAGAAAACCAACTTTTGCTTTATATCTCTGTATAAAGAGCAAGGGGGAAAATCATTATCTTGCTTATTTATAAATTAAGAGATCTGGAAAGAATCTAATACACAATTGTATCAAACTCTGCTGTAAAACTGAGATTTGATTCTTATTCTATAAAGGGCATCTTACTAATGCTCATGGGAACTAATCAAAGCAACGTTTTGATAAATCAGTTATTTCTCACATGCTCTGGTGAGTGTTTCCTTACCTATAGCCATGTAACACCATGTACAGTTCCAGGCCTCTCCCTGGGAGAACTTCTCTACTTTGTTACCATATATACACTTACACATCTCCTTACTTCCTAATAATACCTCTGTTGAAAGGAATACTCAGAAGCAGGCACCTGAGATTCTGACACAGTGACAACAAACTCCTATCTACATACAGTAGGAAAGTAGGGCCTACTACTGAACATTAATTTATAGAAACATTTTTTCCATTTTTACAGTGTACTACCGTGTAAGGCTTAAAAAGAGCAAGAACAATTTTTCACTGTTCTCTACACTTGGCTATTGCAACCCCTTTGTTACTGGGTTTATATAAAGTCAAATGCAGTATGGAAGACTACTTGAAAAACCACGTGCTTCATTTTCATAAATAAATAGACTCAAAATTATCTGACACCAAATTTTATTTTTGAATCAACCATAGTGGCTGATATTACCTATTTGGATAATAAAAGGTTCGTTTTAAGGAAATCAGCTTGTTCTCATACACAATACCAGTAAGTGTCCAATATATTTGCCTCTGCCAGGCTCTCCTGTTACTTCTACTATTGGTACTTGGAGAATGATTGTTAGAAATGAAATGGAGAAAAAGGCAGTTCCTACTGATCATAATTGCAATGGCATTAAATTGTATCACTGCTCTCGTTATGCCAAAACAAACTGATTTCATAAGATTCTTTCCTAGTGACCATTTTTAGTCTATATAATTTCAGAACAAAATTTCTACTCTACAAGGAAAAAGGTGTGTATTTCAAACTGAAGAAAGAATATATATAGGTAACTGAAGGAGAAAGAGATTTACTAGAAATGACAAAATTAAAACTGGAAGTCTGAAAAAGATATTTCTTGAGAATAAAACTGAAGTAAAAAAATGTTAACATTATTTTAAAAACTAAGTTTCTGAACTTTTTACTCATGGGAATAATTCACTAGAGAGTCATGACAAATAAAATGCACAAGTTAATACTACTGAATTAGCACTTTCATTGTCTGGTATCACTGCAAAGAAAAAGATTTCCTTTCACAGTGGAAAAATTAGAAGTCAGAATGCTTCAAATTGGGCCTATCATAAGCAAAGAAGGTACTGTATCATTTTAAAATGACAGGCAAACACCAGCTCCATTCACTGAATGGAAATGCTGGAGCATGATCAATTTCCCCAAATAGTCCTTAAATTCCATGTTTAACGTCTACACCTAAAATTAATATTTTATTTTTAACTTCTCATGGAAGTTGATTCCTAAAAGGAAGTCTCTAAGACTTTGTTTACAAGATATTGATTAAAATCTTAATGCCACTCTATTCAAGGATTTTAAGACAAGACTTTTTGAACTTGACTCACCATACTTAATCCCATCTATAGCTCCCCATACAAATTAACCGTCCCAACCAAACACACACTCCTATCCATCCCCTCCTCTTCATAGAAGGGAATTCTGTAGACTTATGGCTCATTTGGCAATTGCTAAGAAACCTCACAGTTCAGCATCACCTCTGAAGATGGCAAACCTATATATAACCTGAATTTTCACACCCACAGTGCAGTTAACATGTAGAAAGAAGCTAAAATGCAATAGGTATTACACGTCAACATCTGCAAGTTTCAGTATCACAGATATCAATAGATGGAAAAAGACCTGCTTGTAGAACTTTAAGCATTTGTTGAACAGAATTACCACCAATATCAAAAATAATACTAATTTTTTATGTTCTACATGCACACCTTTACAAATTGTATTTCTTCAGTGTAGTAAAAGCTGGAGATCACCAATTTAGGTAAACTATGGCTTTTATCATAGAATTTTAAAACATGCATCAGTAAGCGCCCTGGGTAGTATTCCTAATATTTCAAGCCCTGTTCAGTTCTATGTCTGTGCTTTGCACCTCAGAAGTAAGCCTGCCAAGGCACTTAAAAACGTAAGTCTTTTGGGGACTTCAAAAATTGGCCACAATTTACATAACACAGAACCCCCATCCATCAGCAGTCCAATCAAGTAAGCATTTTCTTTCAACACAGAGTATTATCAAAAATTTTGCAAGTAATCAAACCAAGTAAAAAAAAAAAAACAAAAAATCTGTATGCCACTAAGACAAAATTTACCCCTATATCAAATATATAGAGAATGGTTCTTGGCTTCCTCTAGCAATAGACTATAGTTTCATTTATTCAGAATAAAGAAAAACTAACCCAAACAAGCCCCCCAAACCTAAGACAAAAACGACCGAAATAAAAATAAAACACAACAAAATCCATATACACTCCACACACTTCACTTGAGGAACAACTTGCACAGCTCTTCATCCTTTTATCTGTCCTTTGAGGTGAGTTTTTCAATCAGTTCTTGGAGTGGTGCAAGTTCTCTTCTATCAATAAGGTTGAATTCCTATGCATGATAAAGGTAGGAAAAAATAGTAAAGATGTATTATTTACGTCTCATTCCAAAGCAGATTCCTATTAACACTTGTTGGAAATTAGCTTTCAAAGTAAATAAAAGTCTAATCTTTTTTTCAATAAAATGTTTTTCTCTTCCCTAGCTGTGTCTTCCTTAGACAAATCACTTAAGCACTTTGGATATTATGTTGTACATGTCTATAATAATATTAGAGTAAATCCCCCTACCTCATAAAATTACTGTGGGGACTAAACGTGATACTGTGTGTTAACCACTTCATGTAAATCCCTGGCATAACAGTAAGTGGGAGTGCTGCTTCTTGTTAAAAGGGAATAACCTGACTATCATTTAGATATAGTCAGCCAAATGGGGACCAAAAAATCTAGCATCTTAGGCAAATTTCAGCATTATAAGAAGAGTGAAAGAGTTAACACCTGCAAACTATCATGAAATGGGGTATGAGAATAAGATGAGTAACGTGTAAAGTCCTATAAGAAACAAATTAGGAAGCCTGGATTTAATTTTTGCTTCTTTAAAATTCCACCCCTGTCATTCTGAAGTTCAGTTCTCAACAGATTTCCCCCAAACTATAAAATTGTAAGGCTAATAAATATCGACTGTCTATACTTCTGATCTTCTGCCATAGTGGGGCATTCTGAGTTCCCATTTTCGTTCATTTATTAACATGATCATATGCCAACCACTATAGTAAATACTGGGGAGAAGCATTAGGGGCATTAAGAGCAAGCCTACCCCTAAGATTTGTGGGATCTGGACTAAGAACACAAATGGATATATATCATATGACTATTAAATTTTACATTAAGCTACATTGTTAAATAAAACATGTTCTATTTTCCCGCCTTGACAAATGTGCCTTTATAGTGAGCAAGAAAACAGAATCAAATTTAGAATTCTCAAAATTCCTCAGGATTCTACACTGGAAAGTAGTAACGAGGAGAGCCTGTCCCTGACCCTCAGCAAATCTCCCTGATCTTCCAACCCCCAGCTCCACCCTGCACTTCAAGGGGCCTCACTTGCAGGAGTGTGACACCTGGCTGATTTATATAGGCCATGGCCAGACACCTTCACAAACTGCTGCCATCTGACTACCCACTAGCCTAGATTTAGAGGTACATATATCAGAGATATGACTTTCCCTTGAAAGAATGGACCCAAGGATAAGACCCATGCAGACACTGGAAATACAACTGGGACGATGTGGAAAGGAAATGCTGAAGTGTGAGGTACCTAAGCACAAACCAGTGGAATCTGGGAGGTATGTTCTTTGTCCTGTGGGTCCCTTACACTGTAGGGAGTACAGCTAGAGAAGTGCCAGAATAGGGTTCTCTAAGTAGTGAGGCCAGGGCAGAGGCCCCTCTTGCTCAGTCAAGGGGTGACTGTATAATTAATGGACCTACCTTTAAGAAGGTCACAGTGTCTTAAGATATAAAAAGGCTCAGATGTGGTAATGCTGTATTTATCAATCCCCTACTATTTGCTAGGAGTTGAGAGATAACATTGTACTTTATGAGATCATACAGTGATGCATGGGTGGCTCAGCTGGTTGGGAGTCTGACTTCGGCTCAGGTCATGATCTCGGGGTCCTGGGATCAAGCCCCAAGATGAGACAGGATCCGCACTCAGTAGGGAGTCTGCCTCCCCTCTCCCTCTGCCTCTCCCCCTGCTCATGCTCTTTCTGTTTCTCAAATAAATAAATAAAATCTTAAAAAAAAAAAAAAAAAAGGTAAGATCATACAGTAAGATAAAACCCAATCCTAAATCACTAAAACCTGAACACTGGCAATCATGTTCTGCCTAAACCAAAGCACAGAAGCAAACTTTGAAATAACATTTTCTTTGTTTCTATGGGTGTCTGTAGGTGGGATACCATGGTGAAGTAACTGCTTGGAGCAACAGTTTTGGCAAGTTAAGATCTCCTAAAATGTGTTTATATAAGTGAAGTTAAGACACAAAATGTGTGTGTTCAGTATGAGAGGTAGGTATAGAGGGAAAATAGACACATTTTTCTTTAGTGGAGATGGGGTAAGGGGAGGGCATTTATAAGTATATGCCCACAGATATAAAAAAAATTACACAGATTCAAGATTTGGACTTCTGCCTATCATCTACCCTCTCAACCTCCGACAACAACAAAAAAGCTGGTCAGCTTAACCATTTCCACCTCTTTTTCACTCCTGCCTATTAGTGGTCTACATATTATAGCAGGATGAAAATATCCAACTTCTCTTAGTCTACACCTCTGAGAACTAAAGGGAGAAGGAAGAGGAGGTCAACCAGAGTCAGAAAAGACTAATGGACCTCTGGAATAGCAACACTCCTTGGGATCTTTTTTTCTTCTTTGGATATAATGAGTAGTACCTCACTTAAAAATTATTCAGAATATGGTTTTAAAAAGGAAGAAAAAAAGGTATTATATACAAAGTCCATTTCCAGGCCAGAATATGCTTTAAAAAAACAAATCTGGGCGCCTGGGTGGCTCAGTTGGTTAAGCGACTACCTTCGGCTCAGGTCATGATCCTGGAGTCCCGGGATCGAGTCCCACATCGGGCTCCCTGCTCAGCAGGGGGTCTGCTTCTCCCTCTGCCCTCTTCCCTCTTGTGCTGTCTCTCATTCTCTCTCTCTCAAATAAATAAATAAAATCTTAAAAAAAAAAAAAATCTAGGGTAGACAGGAATTAAGGGTTAAGACGATTAGGAGGAATGCTAATGTGCTAAAGGTACCAAGTTCATCTACAGGCCTGCCAAACTAGCCAGGTTCCTAACTCAGTCCCTCCATATGGCCTGCTAAATGAAGCAAATTCAAAGCAAGACCTCAAAGATCCATTTTAGACTTGCATGCCACCAATCTGGAGATGAATGGAATTCAGAAAAAGGCCTTATCATCATGGTAAGTATAAAAGAGGATAAAGACTAGACAGAGAAGGCAAATTTTATCCTAAAAGTATGGATGCAGGATTCACCTTGGAACTCAGCAGATAACTGGTTTTACTGAGCAAAAAAGGCCTCATAATTCAACTTACCTGGACAAAAAAAATAAAGTGCTTGAAAGATGTATTGAGATGCGCTTCCTCCTGAAGTTGGATCACAGGGTCGAAATGCTGGTGATAAATGTGAGCATAAACCCTAAAGAGGCGTTTGAGTATAGTTTTTGCCACAGACATGAAATTCTTCGGGAATGGGACACCTAATAAATAGATAAACAACGCCCTCTATTAAGAAGAGACAAGAACAAGGCAGTAGGAGTTTGTCAACAAACGGTAACATAAATTAACAAGACAAAGCTAAAAGGAAGTATTTGTGAATTACTAATAATACCCACTCTACTTTCTGGAAGTTCTCAACATATCATGAATGAAAATAAACTTTAAAACTTCCATGGAATTAGAACCAGACGTTAGCAAGCCCCTTAAGCCTTTTTACCTACCACTTTACTAAAATGAAATAAATGTATGCCTAAGATGGTAATGAAGCTAAAACTCACACTCATATCCTCAGATTTCTTAACATCAAGTCTCAGTATAAATATTTGCTGAACACAAACAATATTAACCATGCTCAGTGTTGCTTACAATGCCTGCAATACATTTTTATGTTTTCTCTATGGAAATTATTTCCTAACACTTCCAGGTCTACATTTATTCTGAAATTAGCTGCAGTCCCCCTCAATGAGGTTCACTGTTTTATGAGTAAGAGCACTTTTACAGAATTAAACAAATACAAGACTAGAAAAAATACAAAATTCCATGTCTTTTGTCAAACTGGCTAAATGACCCAGATTGGATTCAGTGTTATCACATTGCCTTATCACATTGCCTTCTGCTCATTTTAAAATATTATAGGTCACAGGGCACCTGGCTGGCTCAGTCAGTAGAGGGTTGGGGTTTTAAGTTCAAGCCCCATGCTGGGTGCAGAGATTACTTTAAAACAAAAGTCTTAAATATATATACACACACACACACACACACACACACACGTGTATATATATATATATTTAAATATTATATATTTATGTATATAGTATATTGTATATATATATACAGTGATCTATTTATACATAAATAGATCACAAAGAAACATAAGACAAACCAAAATGAAGGGACACTATATAAATTAGTATGCTTATACTCTTCAAAAAGATCAATGTCATGAAGGACCAAAAAAGAATGAAGTATACATATTCCATACTAAAGAAAGCTACAGAAACATGACAAGTGAATGAAAACAGAAGTCAAAGATTTTCTTTTACTATAAAGGATATTATTGGGAACATTTGAAAAATCTGAAGAAAATCTATAAATTAAATAGTATTGTATCATTGTTAAATTCCTGATTTTGATAGTTATACTGTGATTTTCTAAGAAAATGCACATTGAAGCAGATTTGGATAAAGGGGCATCATACATAAAACTTACTCTCAAGCAGTTCAGGAAAAAGAAAACATGAAGTTGGGGGGAGGAGAGAGAAGACAAATGTGGTAAAACGTTAGCCACTGAAAAATCTGGAAGAAGGAAAAAAATCTGGAAGAAGGGTATATAGGGATTCTTTGCATAATTCTTGCAAATTTTCTAAAAGCCTGAAATTCATTCAAAATAAAAGGTTATAAAATATAAAATATATGTGAAATTCAGTCATAATAAAAGGTTATTTAAAATATATATATAAAATATATTACAGGAGATAAAAGCTAAGGTGATAGCACTTAACCAAAATGATTATGATGGATATAAGTAATGCAGTCCTGAAAAACAGATCTTTTATTACAAAGGCTCCAAAGTAGTTAAAACATTCAATAAATGTGTTTAAAACAATCCATAATAACAGCAACTATTTACATTGCGGTCTCCTCCACCACATCATTCTTCCAAACTCTAAAAGCATACAATATAGTCAAAAAGTTGTCTGTTGATAGAAGAACAAATTCTTATTTTCTTCAGAAAACACAAGTTGTAAGAAGTTTGAGAGGGTAAAATCATATGAATTATCTTGATGTGAACAATTTCCACGTGAAAGAAAATATAATTTCCTTAAAAGCAAATATAAAAAAGCAAAAGTCACCAGTAGATAACAGGCTAACCCCGCAAATCTTGTTTTCTTCTCACCTAGCTTGATTTCACAGTCTGTAAGATTCACACTGTAGTCATAAATTCAAACTCCCTCTCTGCCACAAATACACTGTAAAACTAGAAATAAGGCATATAAACTCCTTCCCTAAACAAGAAATGGGTATGACTGTGGCAGATGATACTCTCTGCATACCCAGTATCTTTTTTCTATAACACAGGCTAAATTTTGTTACTATCCAAGATACACTAATCTTCTTGTTGTTTAAAATTACAGGGAGCTTTCACTTAATGTTCATGATAAACTCAGTGTGAAAAAGATAAAACACTTTTAAATGTATAAAATTAGAAATATTTTGATAGGTATGGCAGTTTAGTATGGTTCCTGGAATAGAGAGCCAATAAGCTCTAGAAACACATAAAATTAGATAAATCATAGGGGCGCCTGGGTGGCTCAGTCGTTAAGCGTCTGCCTTGGGCTCAGGTCATGATCCCAGGGTCCTGGGATCGAGTGCCACATCGGGCTCCCTGCTCAGCGAGAAGGCTGCTTCTCCCCTCCCTCTGCCCCTGCTTGTGCTCTCTCTCTCGCTGTGTCTCTGTCAAATAAATAAATAAAATCTTTAAAAAAAAAAAATTAGATAAATCATAACAGATTCCGATTATACAAAACAATTATACCAATTTTTGATGGAAATAATGTCTCATCATCCAACTGGTCCTGAACCCAAGTCATCAGGTAATCAATATACTTTGGTGCAGAGCACTTAATAGGCTTCTTTATGTTTGTTCCATCTGCCCAATGATACTCATATCTGTATTGGAAAGATAATAGACACAGAATATCAGTATATACCTATACAAAATGTGTATATTTTTATATTATATACGTGTGCATATTATGAATGTACACAGGACATGTTTTAAACAATCTGCTCCTCTAAATAAAGATATTTTGCATTTAGCATTTAAATTTAGAGCCTTTAAAGTGTTACTAGACTATTTTGCATTTATCATGATCCAAACTAAGCAGGTCCCATCAAACTCATTTTTTGTAAGCTTTTCTTTATATACAGCATTTATATTTTAGAATCATACATTGCCATAGTAGAAAACCTAGCTAGCTTTCCACTTCTCCACTTCTCTGATAACCACCTTTAATCTTTATGGTTGTTTTTCTTCTTTGAAAAACATTTCTCCTTATGCAATTCTTCTTATACAATTCTTTTAACTTGGGGCTTTAAATTTTGGGTTAAGGATAGAGAATGACATGGAAGCTCCAAAGTAACATGCACAAAGAAAATGAGTCAATATCTGAGTACATTTGGCTGAGGAGCTAAATATGCCTTTAAAGAAAAACAGCAACCCAAATAAAGATGCCTATAGGACCTGGGTATTAACAGAACACTATCCTTTGTTATAATCAACATTTAATGTGCACCTACCACGTGAGAAATACTGTTCTTGACCAAGGGACACTAACTTTCCATACTGTCAAGGAAAACAGACTAGTAGAGGAGATAGGCTTGTAAATGAGTAGGTAAAAACAGTTCGGTAAGAATGATAATAGAGTTACACACACACACACACACACAAACCACAACCTGATTTTTAAGATAAGGAATATGCACACAGCTGAAACTCCAAAGCATAAAATCTCTAAATTGAATTATCATTTTGTATTTTAGTTTCCAAGAAACAAGATTACTGCTACCCCTTAGCTTCTCTCTTTGAATCAATTTTGTTATTCTAACCTTGTTCCAGTTTGAACTGACAAAATGATAGGTCAGTGAGTCTACCAAAGAAGGTGAAAGAAAATACAATGGAAAAATACTACAGAGTATTTCAAATGATGAAAATGATCTTGAGATAGGTTAAATAAGGAAGCTTTCCATTTAATCATAACTACTTACACCTGAAAAATAAACCTCAACATGATACACGTGAAAAAACATTCTAACAGCATACCTTACTGCCAACCCTGGGCAACAGGGATGACTGCAAGTCTACTTTGAAGGTTTCCAGGAAGAGATTCCCCAACATTTGGTATTCTCTTCCACTGCTTAATCACTTTCACAGTCACGAGATTCTTTCTAATCTGAAACTAAAGTTCTAAGGAGGACTCAAGCCTGTTCTTATTTGATCCTCTTAGGAGACAGAGACCACGAATAGTAGAACTTTTAGCATCATTACTCTTCACTTAAAGACAGGAACTCATCCATGTTTTCTCCCACATGTTAAGAAACCTTAACATTTTTGCCTTTCCTCCCAATCATATTTTTCATTTTGTTAGTGATCAGGTGTATTCTTAAATGCAAAAATCAAAAGCAGACACAGTTGACCTAAAAATAATTTTCAATATTCTGAAGCTTTTTTTAAGCATACTAACTTTCAATATCCCAAAGCTTTTTGATATACTGCTTATACTTCTACAGTTTATGATTTTCTGACCCATTCTTCTTCTTTTGCCATGTTTATACCTAAGATGACTTCATCCTGTAACTCTATTTTGCCCACATTGATTTTTTATTCCACTTTTGGCAGACCATTCTCTTTGAAATTTATTTGTCATCATGGTATGAACTTATCAACTGCAAACTGTAGAATATTCATTTCTTGGTTAATAATAATAATAAATAATAACTGACAAAATCCTCTGAGGTAATCACTCAATAACACTTTGCAAGGGACCAGTACTAAGCTACTAATAAATGCCTCTCCTTGGTACAATCCCAAGCATCTTCTGCTAAAGATGGCAAAGCATGAGAACAACCGCATCTCCTCAGCACTAACAATGGACAAAACTTAAGACTCTCAAAATAAAAAGGAAGGGAGGGAAGTAAATGGAAGGAAAGGCAGAAGGAGGGGAGGGAAGAAGGGAAGGAAGGAGAAGGAAGGAAAAAGAAAAGGAAGATCATTTTTGTTTTTATAGTATCTTTATAGAGATCCTGTGCCTGTTACTTTCAAAGAAATACATACATTCTTTCTAACCAGCTTTTTAGAGAAGGTTTCTGTGGAGAAAGTGATCACAGCAGTATTCTAAGTGGCAGTAATTCTCCCTAGTTCAAAGGATATTGGTATAATATCAGAAAAACTCACAGTAAAATACTAGTCAATTTCAAGGGGAGAAATGACAAATTTGAGGTAAAGAAACCTTGCAGACACTAAGATGATAAAGTAATCAGGGTTAACATCACCAGTGATGGGATGGTTGACATTGTGTGCCCCCAATATGATCCACTGAGAAAAAAATGATCATTTCTATGGTGTCCAGCCAAGAATACATAGCCTGAATGTGGTCATAAGGAAATGTCAGACAGCCTGTGTCAGGCGACCCCAAGACCACCCCCAGGTTTGATGATTTGCTAAGAGGACTTACAGAACTCAGCACACAGTTGTACTCACAGCTATTATTTATTACAGTGAAAGAACACAAACCAAAATCAGCGAAAAAGAAAAAACATATTAAAATTCTAGATTCCCAGAAGGAAAGCATTAGCCATACCGTTTGTACACAGAGTTTAGGCACAGTGAGCCAGTCTTATCTTAAGTTAGGGAGGTGGAAACCCTTTTGAAATCCAAGTTCCCAAGGCACCTGGGTGGCTCAGTTGTTAAGCGTCTGCCTTTGGCTAAGGTCATGATCCCAGGGTCCTGGGATAGAGCCCCGCATGGGCTCCCTGCTCACAGGGGAGCCTGCTTCTCCCTCTCCTGCTCCTCCTGCTTGTGCTCTCTCTCTTGCTCACTGTCAAATAAATAAAGAAAACTTAAAAAGAAAAGAAAAAGAAATCCAACTTCCCAGTTGCTATCCATAGATCAACCTTGTAAATAGGCCTTTCAAGAGATAAGTCAGGCCTGCTATGTTAACTCTTTTCCATATAAAGGGCAATACCAGAAAAAGACTGAGGAATTATTCTAAATTGTAGGTACCTGAAGAGATAAGTCAAATAAATGCAATACATATTCCTAGATAGGATCCTGGATCCTGGACCAGAAAGGGAAAACTGAGATATTGTTGAAGCAGTCATGAAATGTGAATGGTGTCCATGGACTGGAAGAAGTGATCTGGAGGGTCTGTATGCTACGTAGAAGAGATGTAGAAGAGTGCCCTTGTTTTTGGAAAATACACAGCTGAATATGAGGAGGAAAAGAGGCATTAATGGCTACAACTTGCTCAAAAGGTTCAGAAAAAATTAATGTTAATGAGTATATACACAGAGTAGTGATGAAGCAAATGCAGTAAAATGTTAATAACTGGGGAATCTGTTGTGAAAGAAATATGGGAATTCCTTATGCTCTTCTGGCAACTTAAAATTACTGGAAGCTTCAAAGTTTGAAATAGTCTGAAAAGAAATTCTTTTCAAAAAAATTACCTTAAGAAATATTTAAGTCATATTCTTTTGAACATCTTTTCTGATGACAAGCTGTCAGTCCTCTTTAAAAGAAGTGGATTCCGAGAAACATCTAAACTCACTTGGAATTAATTTGAAGGATAAGGTAGACAACTCCAACTAGGTAATACTTTGCTCAATATGTGAATTTGGTCAAAAAATAAAGTATGATTATGAACTAATAACACTGCATCTCTTGGGTAGTTAGTAATCTGACTCTTTAAAAGTCACCAAAAATTGGGCGCCTGGGTGGCTCAGTCGTTAAGCGTCTGCCTTCGGCTCAGGTCATGATCCCGGAGTCCTGGGATCGAGCCCCGCATCAGGCTCCCTGCTCAGCGGGGAGTCTGCTTCTCCTTCTCCCTCTGTCTACCACTCTGCCTACTTGTGCTCCCTCTCTGTCAAATAAAAAATAATAATAAAATTAAAAAATTTTTAAAAAAAAGATTAAAAGTCACCAAAAATAGTCTACAATAAGTGATTAGCAATCTAAGGTCACAACTTGTAACATAATACTCCTAAACACTCGTAAGTTTGGGCAGTGTTGTTTTGTTTTGATATTTATACCTTATACATGATGGGAGTATAGGATACACTTTATAAAAAGTCAGCACTAAAAATTAAAACCTCTCTTTGTCTTGTAAGTATCAATTAATATTTCTTTTTTTTTTTTAAGATTTTATTTATTTATTTGACAGAGAAAGACACAGCGAAAGAGGGAACAGGGGGACTCCAGGATCATGACCCGAGCCGAAGGCAGTCACTTAACCAACTGAGCCACCCAGGCGCCCTCAATTAATATTTCTTATAATAATAAAATAATAATACAATGTAGAAAGTAAGAGTAGAGGCACTAGAATCAAAGAGACTTAGATTTCAATTCTGGTTCAGCCTGCTTCTAGATAATAGGACCATGGACATGTTACTTAACTTTTCTCAGACTCAATTTCTTTTCTTACCTCATAGGGTTGCTGTATGAAGTAAAAGATGAAATGTATGAAAGGCCTAACATTTTAGGTAGCACTAAATAAATGGTAGCAGTCATTATCAGCCACAGTAATAATTAAATAATTTCAAAAATTTATTGATCTAAGCAAACATTTACCAAGTGCTAACTAGGTGGCAGCCATTGTTCTTGCACCAAAAGGGATTTAAACAAAGAAGGAATCTAATAGGTTAAATAAGACATGTATAAAGAGTGTAAGTATAATATAACAAAGAAATGTAATCACAAAGACAAAAAAGTTAAATAGATCAGATCTAGTCTGAAAATATCAAAAGGTTTCATAAAGAAAGAAGCATTTGATGTGGACCTTGCAGATGGGTAAGATTTTTTGAACTATTACCAGGTAATGATTGGAGGGAGATGGGAAGAGAAGAAAAATATCCAAAAGAATAATGGAATGAGGGGCACCTGGGTAGCTCAGCTGTTAAGCGTCTGCCTTTGGCTCAGGTCGTGATCCCAGGGTCCTGGGATAGAGCCCCCTGCATCGGGCTCCCTGCTTAGTGGGAAGCTTGTTTCTCCCTCTCCCACTCCCCCCCACCCCCGCTTGTGTTCCCTCTCTTGCTGTGTCTCTCTCTATCAAATAAATATATAAAATCTTAAAAAAAAAAAAAAGAAGAATGGAATGAGCAAGTTTTCACAGTATAAGTAATGGAGGGAATAGTAAGGTGTTTCCAGTAATCTAGTTTGGATAGACCAGAGGAGATTCATAAGCAAAGAGAGGAAAGGAGGAAGGAGGATTATACAGGGAGAGCCATAAAGTTCAGGCTAAAAAATCTGGACTTAATATATCATTAGTGAACCACTGAAGGAGATGCTAAGTAGAGAAACTATATGGTCAGAAACTTTCTTCTTATCTAAGAACTTTTAAGTAAAAATGAGAATTGATCATAAACCATGTCTTACTTTGGGCCAGCTGACATCACTGGACAACTTTCCTCTGTACAGAAATCTGTGATTGTTCCATAAAGCATATTAATCTGATTGAAGAAATCCACAGCTGCAAAGCAAGTATCAGTTATAAGTAAAAAATTAAATTTTAATTTTACTCAAAGAGAATCCTAGATTTATCAGTGTTCTTTCCTCTACAAAGAAGAAGCAAAAAGCATACACAGAAATCACAACACGTGGCTACTCTGAAATTAGGGGCTTCTGTTTATTAAGTAAGTTCATCCTTAGGTGGGTGAAAAAAAACAACCACAGAGTGGGCAAAATTCTTTGCAACACACAGAGCCAACAAAAATTTGGGGGTGCATCCAACTCCTGATTTTAGCCCAGGTCATGATCTCAGGGTCCTGGGATCCAGCCCCATGTAGGCTCATCCGGCTCCAGCTTAAGATTCTCTTTCCCTCTCCCTCAGCCTCTCCCACCACTTCCATCACCTCCCCACACCCACTTGCACTCTCTCTTAAAGAAGAAAAACATACTGTATTCAGAATATATAAAGAACTCCTATGGATTAAAAAGAAAAAGACAACATAGTAGAAAAATGTGAGACAGTTTTGAATCAGCACTTAACAAAAGGAAGTTTCCAAATGGTCGAAAAGCACAAGAAATTGGCAATCATGGAAGTGCAAATTTAAATGATAGTGGGATGCCATTCCATAGCTATCAAAAAAGCTATAATGTATCTGAAAATGCAAAGAACTAAGAATATCCAACATATTCTTGAACAAGATGAACGTCAAAATTTATGAAGCACAACGAATAAAACCAATGGACCAATGGAACAGAATGGAGACCAGACACAGGTAAGTACAGAAGAAACAGCAAGCACAGAAGCATATTAGTTTCAGGTGTAAAATATAGTGATTCAACAATTCTATACATTATTCAGTGCTCATCATGTTGTGTACTCTGAATCCTCTTCATTTATTTCACCCATTCCCCAACCTATCTCCACAAATAAATTTTTTTTTTTAAAGATTTTATTTATTTGAGAGAGAGAGAATGAAAGACAGAGAGCATGAGAGGGAGGAGGGTTAGAGGGAGAAGCAGACTCCCCGCTGAGCAGGGAGCCCGATGCGGGACTCGATCACGGGACTCCAGGATCATGACCTGAGCCGAAGGCAGTCGCTTAACCAACTGAGCCACCCAGGCGCCCCTCCACAAATAAATTTCTTAAGAAGAGCACAAAAAGGACTAATAATATAGTTTTCTATGTTTCACTGGATTTATTCCTAGGTTTTTTATATTTCTGATGCTATTTCTAATTTTTATATTGACTCCAGTAATAATCTTATTAAATTTATCTATTGGTAATAATAATCTTGGTGTAGTAATAACAATCCTAATATTCTGGTTTTTCAACATTCATTCATATTGACTACGAATGAATATGCTTTCTTCCAAGAGAAATTAAGAAAACAATCCCACTGGGGTACCTGGGTGGCTCAGTCAGTTAAGCATCTGACCTCAGCTCAGGTCATGATCTCGGGGTTGTGAGATCAAGCCCCATGTTGGGCTCCGACCTGGGTGTGGAGCCTACTTAAGATTCTCTCTCGTCCTTGCAATGCCTGGGTGGCTCAGTCGGTTAAGCGTCTGCCTTCGGCTCAAGTCATGATCTCGGGGTCAAATCAAACCCCATGTTGGGCTCCCTGCTCAGTGCGGAGCCTGCTTCTCCCTTTCCCACTGCCCCTCCCTACCACTCATGCTCTCTGTCTCTCTCACACACACTCTCTCTCTCAAATAAATAAATAAAACCTTAAAAAAAAGATTCTCATCTTCTCCCTCTGCCTCGCCCCCTCACACACTCTTAAAAAAAAAAAAAACAATCCCATGTACAAATGCACCCATAATAGTAAGATACCTACTAAATCGAACCAAAGAGGTGAAAGACCTATACTCTGAAAACTATAAAACACTGATGAAAGAAATTAAAGATGACACAAAGAAATAGGAATGTCTTGGAAGGACATGGATTGGAAGAGCAAATGTTAAAATGTCTATACTACCCAAATCAATTTACAGATTTAATGTAATCTCTATCAAAATACCAACAGCATTTTCCACAGAACTAGAATAAACAATCCTAAAATTTGTATGGAACCACAAAAGATCCTGACTAGCCAAAGCAATCTTGAAAAAGGAAAGCAAAGCTGGAGGTATCACAATTCCAGATTTTAAGGTGTATTACAAAGCTGTAGTAATCAAAACAGTATGGTACTGGCACCAAAATAGACACATAGATCAATGGAGCAGAACAGAAAACCCAGACATAAACCCAGAATTATACGGTCAATTAATCTTTGACAAAGCAGGAAAAGAGTAATGCAATGGGAAAACTGTTCAGCTACATGTAAAAGAATGAAACTGTACCACTTTCTTACACCAAACACTAAAGAAACTCAAAATGGATTAAAGACCTAAATGTGAGACATGAAACCATAAAAACTCTAGAAGAGAGCACAGGCAATAATGTCTCTGACACAGAAGAGAGCCACATTTTTCTAAATATGTCTCCTGAGGCAATGGAAATAAAAGAAAAAATAAACTATTGGAACTACAAAATAAACAGCTTCTATACAGCAAAGAAAACAACCAACAAAATTAACAGGTAACCTACTGAATGGGAGAACATATTTGCAAATGGCCTATCTGATAAAGGGTTAATATCCAAAATATATAAAGAACTAAAAATCTCAACACCCAAAAAACAAATAATCCAATTAAAAATTCAGCAGGAGACATGAACACACATTTCTCCAAAGAAGACATACAGATGGCCAACAGACATATGAAAAGATGTTCATCATCACTTACCATCAGGGAAATGCAAATCAAAACTACAATAAGACATCACCTCACACCTGTCAGAATGGCAAAAATCAACAACACAAGAAACAGGTGTTGGAGAGGATGTGAAGAAAAGGAACCCTCAGGCAGTGCTGGTGGGAATGCAAACTGATGTAGCCACTGGAAGACAGTATAGAAGGTCCTCAAAAAACTAAAAATAGAATTACCATATGATCCAGTAATTCCACTACTGGTTATTTACCCAAAGAAAACAGAAACACTAAATTCGAAAAGATATATGCACCCCTATGTTTATTGCAGCATTATTTATAACAGCCAAAATATGGAAGCAAACCAAGTGTCCATTAACAGATGAATTGATAAAGATCTCTCTCTCTCTCTCTCTCTCTCTCACACACACACACACACACACACACAGAGGAATATTATTCAGCCACAAAAAGGAATGAAATCTTGCTACCTGCAACAACATGGATGGATCTAGAGAGTATAATGCTAAGTGAAATAAGCCAGTCAAAAACGACAAATACCATATGGTTTCACTCCTATATGGAATTTAAGAAATGAAACAAAGAAAAGAGACAAACCAAAAGTCAGACTCTTACCTATAGAGAACTAGTGGTAGCCAGAGGGGAGGCGGTGGGGGCTGGAGGGGAAATGGGTGAAACAGGTGAAGGGCATTAAGAGTACACTTATCTTGATGAGCACGAGTAATGTATAGAATTGGTGAAACACTATCATACACCTGAAACTAATATAACACTGTATATTAACTACGCTGGATTTAAAATTTTTTAAAAAGTCTACCCAAAAATAAAAAGAGTATCTCAAACATATTTTACTAACTTCATAAGATCATTATTGAATTGCCTTTTTAAAAAAGCATAATGTAAACAAATAACTGAGCATGCTACTGAAAGAGGCAATTTAGCATAGTGGCTAAAGTGTAGTCTCTACTTGTCATGATGAGCACTGGGTGATGCATGGAAGTCATGAATCACGATATCGTACACCTGAAACTAATACAATGCTGTACGTTAACTAACTGGAATTAAAATAAAAACTTAAAAAAAAAATGTGTAGTTTTGGGACGCCTGGGTGGCTCAGCTGTTAAGCATCTGCCTTCGGCTCAGGTCATGATCCCAGGGTCCTGGGATCAAGCCCCGCATTGGGCTCCCTGCTGGGCAGGAGGCCTGCTTCTCCCTCTCCCACTCCCCCTGCTTATGTTCCCTCTCTTCACTGTGTCTCTGTCAAATAAATAATATCCTTAAAAAAAAAAAAAGTGTAGTTTCTAAAATTCTAAAGCTCTATATCTGAGCCCAGTTTCTATCATCTGATAGTTGTATGACCTAGGCAAATTACTAATCTTTCTGTCTCACCTTCCTTATCTATATTAAACTGAAATAACAATAGAACCTACATCATTAGGCTATAAAGATGAAATAAAAAGAATCCATGTAGAAAGGGTAACTGAGGGCCAGACATAGAATTAATGTGCCATAAATATTAGTTATTATTACCATTTTTTCTACTGAAGATGGTAAATCTATGCTTTGTATTACATTATAACAGGAGATAAAAATTTCATAAAACTCCATACTCACAAATAAAGTAACATAAAGGCTAAAGTGGACTGAGGTATCACTATAACTGTAGCATTAGGTTGATAACTAGATCCTTGAACAAACAACATCCACTCACCTACAATGAGGCTACTAACCTAATTTAGAGTCTACCTAGAAACAGATAGGCTACTTACAGTTCACTGCAACCCATTCATTTAGATCTTCCCCCTCAGGAAGCATGACAGCCATCCGGAGATTGCCACTACCAAGTGTGGCTTCTGCATGCTTTAGGAGTTCATACTGGTGAGAACCCTCTGGGATGTTCTTCTTTGGTTTAAACGTTTTAGAGGACCGGCTACCACTACGAATAGAAAAGAAAAAAAGAACCTCAATATTTAAGGCATGACTTTCAACAGAATATTCTACATTGTACTACTGAATAAAATAACATTGAGGTGATCCTAAAATCCACAAATAGCCCTAAATTGTATTGGCTACATTAAATCCCAGCAAAATAATTGTTGTAGCTACTATGTTTGATACCCAAAACTCCTACAAACCTCTACATTCCCTACTGCAACTCCCTAGGAGAAAGATAATTTTTAGCTATAATTAATCCAGCTTTTCACAATAAATTAATGATTCAGGATTATAGGTTGTAGTCTACAAAAACAAAGTACTTGTTTCCAGTCATTTTATTCCTTTTCACCCCTATTAAGTCTCTCATTCTAATACAAATAATTTATTTCCTCCATTAAAGATACAGTTTTATGTCAATAAAACACAAAAATCCTAGAGTGAGAAAGAGAATCTACATGTTCTGCCCAATTATAGGAAGCATCAGCAATCTTAATCCAGAATTTCACATACGCAGATAAGTAGCTAGACATTAATATGGTTGACTTGCTCAAATTTCTGAATTCGTGTGGATACACACATGCATTTTTTAAATGGGTCAAATGAAACTAGTCTTAGAAATGGTTTTGAGTTTTTAAGAGATGGATTTTTCTGTTAATGCTATCAAATTCTTATCAAACTGTATTATATCCCAGTCACCCCTTCTCAATACTTCCCTTTTCTTCTCTTCATATAAAAAAGGAACAGTTAAGAATGAATTAGAGGAGGCTGGGTAAGTGGCAACTCTGTAAAGTTTAATGTTACTAAATCCATACCACAAAACATTCAGACATGTGAGCTTATAAATATGAAAGAGGAATTCCAAAAAGAATAAATGAACAATAGTTATACTTTCCAAGCTCTCCATAGCTTTTCACTCACTACCCCTTCTCCCAAGCTTAACCCCATGATCTCTCCTGTCTTCCCCAAGGTAAAGGGTAGTTCTTTGCTGCTTACATATTATAGTCACTTGATGTGCTTTCCAAAAAGTACTGAGGATCCTGAGATAAACTAAGAATCTACAAATCAACCCAAATATCCAATCAAATGACAAGTATTTTTCATTTCTAAGGCAAGGGCATTCTCCTTTAAACCGGTCTCTTCTCAGGTGTTCAACTGGACTAAATTGAGGTTCTTCAACTCTAACACTGCCCCCTCTCCCTGCCAGGTATCTCTACTTAACAGTCAAGGTATCTCTAAAAGCCCTGATCAGACATTACTCCTCTGCTTAAAACCACTCAGTGGTTTTCCACTGAGTTTACTCTCAAAGTAAATCCAAATGTCAAACATTAGACACAGGCAGGCCCTGGACCAACAGTAGAGTACAGAAACTTCTTCAGTTTAATCAGATAATGCATTAAACACCAAATTCTCTCCCAGCATCTCTAAAATACAAAAGCACAGAAAAGATCATTATGGCTACACTAAGCTTGAGACTTACTTCATTTTCCTGCTCTTCTCATCCTTTGTTTATCAAAATTTAGTGTGAGAAACAACAAAGACATTTCACTAATGTATGTGTGATTAATTACAAAAATAACTCTCCTGTGACTAATCTGGTGCATGTCTTCAGGCAGGGTGTAAATTAAGTACACTCCCTTTAATTAGCCACTCTTCAGATTAATACAGCAACTGAGGATGGGAAATGCTGTTCTGAAAAGGGCTGACAAAGTACATTACATGAGAGCTACAAGGACATCAGTTGTGCCTGCACTCAGAGGAAGGTCAGAGCCTCACCTGCCCCCTATTTATTGGTTCGTCTCCCCCTATTTATTGAATCACTGTGCCACAAAATTTTAGGCTTCCAAATGTTTTTTGATTGATCCTCCATCCAGAATTGGTCTTCCACAAAGCTAAGTAAATCTATCTCATAAGACTTTATTCTTGAGTAGAAAGAAAAAAAAAATCTGAGTTTGATTTTGTGAGGGCCAGCTATGTTTTCTCAGGCAAATACCCCAACTTTCTTGAGTCTATTCGTTTTTAAACAGTGAAAGCCTAATAAAAATAACAAAACATCACCACTACCTGTATGATAGATCTGCTGCAAAATGAGAAAATATATGTGAAAATGTTTTTAAAACCGTAAAATGCTGTGCACATAAAATGCTAGTTTTTTTCACTGTCCTTCCTGTTTCTGAACCAGAATGACAGAGTAACAAAGGAAATGGTAGAGCAATATCCAAAGCTGGATTCAACCACTATTCCCACCCTCTTCTCCTAAGATTTGATGGGGGGAAAATAGAACCTTACTTTGGAAACAAATGCTTTTACAAATCAAGTTTACAAAAGAAGTTTTAAAAATTTTGTTCTGTTTTTTCATGCTATTCCCATTAACAAGGTTCAGGTGATCTGACGCTAATTGTGGGGCTAGATTGGAAATCAAGAAACAAGGTTCTATTCCTCATTTTGCTATTCTTATGTTACTTAGGAACCACAAATTATCATCTGGGCTTCAATTTCTTTATTTTGTTTTTTGAAAGCCTGGAAAATAACTTTTTATAAAAGGTTGTAATTTAAGAGATGAGATAATGTTTATAAAATGATTTTAGTTCCTTGGAAACTGTTGATTCCTTTCTCCATTCCTCTTTTCCAAGTACTTTCAAACTTCCAAAATGTTCCCAAGTCCTTTAATTTTCTCTCTCTCTAACCTTTCTGCTTTATTCAGGCAGAATAACCTAACCATTTCAACCCTCTATATTTTCTAAATATTCTTTTTAAAAACCACATTCAGCTTTTTCAACCTAAAACTTCTACCAGTATCCACCCTACCCTGGAACGGGTGGTCAGTACTGCTCCCCTTTCTAAGTCAAAAGACCAACTGACAGAGTCCTCAAGTTCAAAAGCACAAATGTGAAAGCATATACACAAAAGTCCTCATCGTTGAGTACAAGCTCTCATAATAACAATGTATGGCCAAATGCATATATCTCATATGGCATTTTAAGACATTTGATGCAAATATTCAAAAACATTTTCAATAACACAAAGTATGCTGCCTTTCCACCCCACCCTCCTTAGAAGAAATCTGTGTATCAAAAGAATCTCAGAAGAAATATCTTGTATATCCTTCCAAAGAGTCTATGTCTAAACAAGGCCAAGAACACCTGGGCCTGTTTTTGTTTTTACACAATTGTTGCATGCTATACTAAATAATGTTTTTCAGTAAATATATCCAGGAGATGGTTGTATATTAAGATAGAAGTAGATCTAACTTATTCTTTTTAAGAGTGAATAGTACTTCCTTATATAAATGTATAATATGTCTTAGTCACTTAATGATAAACATTTAGGTTGTTTCCAGTCATTTGTTATTACAAACAACACTGAAGTAAGTATCCTCCTGCACATGCATATATGAAGGATAAATCACTAAAAATAAAACTGCTGTGCTAAAGGACATTCACATTTTTAAATTTTTTTTTTTTTTAAGATTTTATTTATTTGACAGAGAGAGATACAGCGAGAGAGGGAACACAAGCAGGGGGAGTGGGAGAGGGAGAAGCAGGCTTCCCGCGGAGCAGGGAGCCCAATGTGGGGCTCGATCCCAGGACCCTCGGATCATGACCTGAGCTGAAGGCAGATGCTTAACAACTGAGCCATCCAGGCGCCCCCACATTTTTAAATTTTATATAAGCCTATTTTTTCCCCAAATAAGCTGTACCCTTTTACAATCCCATTAACAATGTATGAAAATAGCTATGCATATTTTCAGTCTTAGACAAGGATTCTAACTGCTAATTATTCTTGTACAGCTCCTAACACAGTATCATAACTTTATGAGAATTTGGAGCTTTCTGATTAAAATGTGAATGATACATTACATATAAAGGAGTTGAATTGATAATTCATGGCATTACCCTGAGGTCTTTTCTTTCCAAATAAACAACCAGGATTCAGGATTGTTTGTCCTGGTCAGTCCTCTTATTCACATCAGAAGGCCAATCAATTTCTTTTCTTTTTTTTTCATATTCAAATTTTTTTATTATGTTATGTTAATCACCATACATTTTACATCATTAGTTTTTGATGTAGTGTTCCATGATTCATTGTTTGCATATAACACCCAGTGCTCCATTCAGTACATGCCCTCTTTAATACCCATCACCAGGCTAACCCATTCTCCCACCCCCCTCCCCTCTAGAACCCTCAGTTTGTTTCTCAGAGTTTCTCATGGTTCGTCTCCCCCTCCAATTCCACCCCCCGTCATTTTTCCCTTCCTGCTTTCTTCTTCTTTTTTTTAAACATACAATGTATTATTTGTTTCAGAGGTACAAGTCTGTGATTTAACAGTCTTACACAATTCACAGCGCTCACCATAGCACATACCCTCCCCAATGTATATCACCCAGCCACCCCATCCCTCCCACCCTCACCACTCCAGCAACCCTCAGTTTGTTTCCTGAGATCAAGAATTCCTCATATCAGTGAGTTCATATGATACATGTCTTTCTGACTGACTTATTTCACTCAGCATAATACCCTCCAGTTCCATCCACGTCGTTGCAAATGGCAAGATTTCATTCCTTTTGATGGCTGCATAATATTCCACTGAATATATATGCCACATCTTCTTTATCCATTCATCTGTCAATGGACTTCTTGGCTCTTTCCATAGTTTGGCTATTGTGGACACTGCTGCTATAAACATCGGGGTTGGCCTGACACAAGTCAGGCCAATCAATTTCTAAAGCAAGACAGGTTGGTTTTCCTAAGGGAAAACCCTAAACCCACCTCCCTTATACTTAGTCATCCAATTTGATCTACCTTTTCTAAGTTTCAACAGCATTATTTATTTCCCTCTTTGAGAACCTAAAGAATAGATTAGCTCCCACAGTGACACCTAGGTTAATTCCCATAAACCATTTCCTACCATCTCAACACTGTCACATCCATTATTACCCTTAATTTTAATCCTTTATTGTCCAATCCAACTATCAATGAAGTTGATATTTTCAAATTTGGACA